CCACTGGGTCATCTACTGTCTCACCATGCCCTCTCATCTTCAGGTACCCCATCTGTGAGGCCTTTGCACACTCTGGGTCCAATGCCTAGAATGCCCCTCCCTCTCCTTCCATGCGCCTTCCCTCGCCCCTTGTCAGTCTGGTCCCTCATGACCCAGCTTAATGTCACCTCTGCTCCTTTTTCTGAGCCCACACAGAATCATGACTGCAGGCTCACATGTCTGCCTCCCTGTGTCCACAGCATCACTGGGATCAGCTGGCCCAAATCCACCTACCTATCCCCAGCACCCAGCACAGGGCCAGCTCAAAGTGGGTGCTCAGGGTTTGCTGAGTGAATGAGCACCCGCTTTGCTCCACAAACCCGCTACATCCCAGCCAGTCTTCTTGCCCTCAGGTTGAGTTAGGACCATTGTCTGGATGAGAGGGACCAGGGAGGTCTCCCCGCCCCACCCTTCATTGCTCAGATGAGCAGCTAGGGCTGAAGATGAAGTGGGCAGGGGCACAAGAGGGGATATTTAAGTCTCTCTGATGGCACAAGAGCAGGTAAGCCACAAATGTTTGTTGAATGAACATTTGACTGTTTGAATAAATGAATAAATGGGTAAAAAGCACCACCCCCTGGCCACTTTCGGATCCTGCCAGGGACAGAAATCTTAGGTCTCACAGCAACTGGAGGTATCAATACTCCTGGAGCGTTTTCATTTTATAAGCAGAGGCTGGGCACACTCCACATCCTGAAAGAGCCTCTTTTGGAGGTGGGGAAGCTTCCCAGGCAGCTGCACAGACCTCTGGCTGGTGGAGATTTTCCAGAAGGCCTGGTTTGGGAGGTATTAGGGAGGGTCTTCTCGTCTTCTTTGTATTTCCAGCCAGCTCTGCCTCTTTAGCTTGTCCTAACCCACAGTGGGACTAGGGCATGTCCCTGAAGCCCACGGGCCTCAGTTTCTTCAAGTGTAAAGAAGGAGGCCATACCCCACATCTCAGCTCTTCAGGCCATCATGGGATAAGGCTTGGTGACACGGCAGCAGGAGGGCCAGGCCCAGGGGTGGGGGAGACAGGCTGAGGGGAAAGGCCAATACCCACACCACCCTCAGCCCTGACCAGGACTGAGGACTGTCTTCTTTCATGCCTAACAAGCCACGAGCTCCTTGGCCACTGCAGGGGTGAGAGGAGAGGGAAGGGCTCCCATCCTGAGCCCTGCACCAGGGTCCTTGCTGGCGGCAGGCGCCGCTCCCCGGCTTCACAGAAGACAGATCACTCCCTTAATCACTCTGGAAAAGAACCCCAAGCCGATATAATATTATAATTAATTAATTCACTAAAAAGGTATTAAATTTCTCTCCCCCCTGTGGATATTATCTGAATTCATTGACCTTTAGAAAAATCACCCTCTAATTGTAACCAGGTCCAAAAGCATTTGCAGCCCGTCCCTTTTACATTAATAATATCTTCCCGGACTCAGCTCTGGCTGCTTAAATATTGTATAAATTCCACTGCCCCCCTTGGAAAGAAGAGAGCAAAGAAAAAAGATGAGGCTGGAGGAGTCTGAGAGGGGGATGGGGTCTGGACCCTGAGAGGCGGGAGTCTCAGGAGGTGAGGGGTGGGAGGTGAGGAGCGGGAGGTGCACCCAGGTGCCTGGGAAGGGGCTCTCTAGCAGCTCCAGCTGAGCCAGGCAGCTTGGAGGACAGGGGAGGGGCATGGGTTTTGAAATAGAGCACCGGGCATGGGTTGGGAGCAAGGGTGTTGAACCTGAGGTTAGTTTTAGGAGGCTATGTGCATGTGTCTGGGGAGAAGGTGCGTAGTGTGTATCAGACTCTCATCTAAGTTAATGGCGTCAAATAGTAAAGAAAGAATCTTTGCTTTACAGGAACCATGGGCGATGGAAATGTGGAATCCCAAGCAGCACATTCCGAGGCCCTGTGACCCCCTCCCGGGCTGCCACTCCAACTCTGACCTCCCAAGCCCTGTTGTACAGATGGTGGAGCTGGCCACCCAGAAGATGCTGCTGGACATGCAGAACTTCCTCAGGCTGAGGAGGTAGGTACTAAGGCAGAGCGAGCAGCTGGTGGGGACAGACAGACAGATACAGGAACTGGAGCTGAGGGCAGCAGGGTCAGGGGCCGGGGCGCTGTCTGCATCCTCCACCCTCACCACCTCTGCTCCCCCAGCACCCTGGCTCCTGCTGAGGGCCCCACAAGGAATCCAAGGGAACTACAGCTGCTTGTCCTCCCCTGCCTAGCTTTGACCTCTTTCTCTGCTTCCTCTCCCACTGTACGTGTCTGTTTGTCCTCTAAACCACCCTAAAATGAAGGGGCTGGACATGCCCATCCCTTCTGTGTCCACACCAGCCAAAGTCCTTACTCTGCCTTTTTATTTTTTAGAAACAGGGTCTTGCTGTATTGCCCAGGCTGGAGTGCAATAGCATGATCATTGCTTACTGTAGCCTCAAACTTCTGGGCTCAAGCAATCCTCCCATTTCAGCCTCCTGAGTAGCTAGGACCATATGTGTGCACCACCATGGCTGGCTAATTAAAAAAAAAAAAATTAGAGTTAAGGGTTTGGTTATGTTGCCCAGGCTGGTTTTGAACTCCTGGCCTCAAGCAATCCTCCTGCCTCAGCCTCCTGAGTAGCTGGCATTACAAGTGCAAGCTACCACACCTGTCCCTACTCTGCCTTTTAAAAAAGAATTTCCAGGCCGGTTGCAGTGGCTTATACCTGCAATCCCAGCACTTTGGGAGGCCGAAGTGGGTAGATCACCTGAGGTCAGGAATTTGAGACCAGCCTGACCAACATGGTGAAACCCCATCTCTACTAAAAATACCAAAAAAAAAAAAAAAAAAATTTTAGCTGAGTATGGTGGTGGGCGCCTGTAACCCCAGCTACTTGGGAGGTTGAGGCAGGAGAAGCACTTGAACCTGGGAGGCGGAAGTTGCAGTGAATGGAGATCGCGCCATTGCACTCCAGCCTGGGCAACAAGAGCAAAACTCCGTCTCAAAAAAAAAAAAAAAAAAAATCCCCCGTAGACCTGACAACTGGAAAGATGTTGTCCACCAAATAAATCTTGCTAAAGGATGCATTCCCCTACTATCAAATCAGAGTGATTCTTGAATCAGAGTCGTTCATAATCACCAGCCAGACTCCAATCCAGCCACAAGATGAGGGTCCTTCAGGCTGGTCTCAGAAACAAGAACACTTTCTGGTGGTTCATTGAAATGCTGGAAGTAGTCCCTGGGCCGGCCTCAACCAAATCGGTAGGACTGCAGGACTCCCAGACAGGGTGGAAGCCACCCAGGCAGACAGCTTGGAATGTACAATGAAGCTGAGACTCCTCTACGCCCACCAGCCAGGGCAGGCAGCTGACTAGTCCTGGCCCAGGGCACCCTCTTGTGGACAGAACCCCACTCACACCCTCTGTCCTGTCGAATGTGCTGTCCATATCCCAATCCCAGAGGTGGTGGCCAGGCTGAAGGAGCCCAGGGGCAGGAAACCAACAGGCAGGTGGAGGGCGGGGACATCAGTGATCTTTGAGACATCAGTGATCTTTTTATTTTCCTTTTAAAAAATGTTTTAAATTTTTATTTCTTTTTAGCTGACCTCTGCTGACAGGAAGGGTTATCGGTGATCTTGAAGGGCCGTGAGAGGAAGCAGGTGGGCAGCCCTCCACTTCACTGAGTGAATCCCCAGGGGGAAGTGGAAGAGCCAGTGGGGTCGCGGAGATTTTTCAGGGGCCTGAAGGATCAGCCTTGGGACTTCCCGGAGCCTCCACCGCCCCCAGCCAAGGCAGCCCAAACCTAGATCATCAGCTGTCTCCCAGAGTACAGGGCTTGCCCCAGACGGGGCTTAGAGGGGTTTCCAGGGCATGGGTAAGTCCCAGGTGGTGGAGTGGAACCTGGAACTAGGAGGAGGTGCCAGCGCCACGGCTGGCTCAGGCTCCACAAGGTCATCCCCGGCTCTATCTGACCTTGAGATTAATCCTGCAGCCCGACCGCCATCAGCGCCCAGCCGCCCGGCCCCCTTTCCTTCTCTCCCCTCGCACGTTAATTGCTCAACGTTGATTTGATCGCTCCTTTTGCACAGAGGAAATTGCCCTCTTAGCCATTTTCATCCTGGGATTTTTTTTTTTTTTTTTTTTTAATTAGGACCCTTCAGCCTCTCAGGGCGATGACGGGGAGCCATTTTGGTCTCCGCCTGAAGCGATCCTGGAGAGCGGAGGGGAACTGGAAGAAGCCCGAGAAGCCCTCCCCATTCCCGCGGAGCACCGGGGCTCCAGCAGCCGCCACTGCCCCCAGGCCCTGTCCCCCTTCTGGGCGAGGTCAAACTCCAGCATCTCCGAGCAGAGGCCCCAGGGCTGCAGTACCGAGGAAGGGCCTCGCCCAGGCCTCGCTGCCAGAGCCAGAGCGGGGCGAGGGGGAACCCGGGCCCGTGACCCCCACGCAGCATCCTGGGCTCCCGTCTCCTCCCTGTCTAGCTCAGGGGAGGCCCTTTCCCCAAATCCCTAGCAGGACGCAGCCCCTCAGGTACCAGGGAGCCCATCCGGCCAGACGGAGGTCGAGTGCCCAGCTACAGCTTCTCAACTCGAGTGGCCGCCCACCTGAGGATGTCACCCCCAGAACAGGAGTGGGAAAGGAGAAGCATGCCCCCTACGCCGGGCCCAGGGTGCCCCAAATAAGCAGCTAAGGGCGGCGGACTTGATTTGTGAGCAACCGCCCCCTACTGCAACTCCTGGTCTCGCTCCGGCCGCAGCTGGAGTCGTGGGATCGGCGTGGCCGCAGCGCCACCTCCTGGCCGTGAGGAGGGACCATGCCCCCATCAGCACCCAAATCTCTCGGCTTCCCCCGGCAGGGCTGAGGTTTGAGGACACCAGGCGACAGGCGAGTTGCCTCTTCCCTGTATCCCCCACCCCGACCCCCTTCAGGCAGCATCCGCACTCTGGAAGGGGCCCACTGGGTTGAATCCTCCCCTTCGCTGTCAGCCCTAGACCCACTCCAGAGACAGGACCACCGGGTACAAAGCACAGTGTTTACTAAAGGCACAAAGTGGGGGATCGGAAGGCAGCTGCTCTTCCGGCAGTGACCCCTCCCGCTTCCGGCAGCCCCCGCGCTCGAACCACCTGGTGGAGAGCTGTTAGCACCAAAGGGGGGGTGCCCACCTGTGGGAGGGCCTGAGGACCAGGCTCCGGGGCGGGCTGGCTGCCATCTGAGTCCCAGAAAGGCAGGCCTGGGCACCCCCAGGAGCAGTCGCCTCAGACGAGGAGCTTCCCGAAGCCCCCCAGCATGTCCTTCACCGGTAATGAGGGGGTCAGTCTCAGAAGACAGGGCGTCTCCACCAGGCCCTCTTCTCACCTCTAGAACACCCTGCCCCCTCCCAACCCCCAGATTCCATCTCTGGGAGAGGAGCTGATGGCCTCTTCCCACCCTGCCAGTCAAGAGGGCTGCCCAGGGATGCTTCTCCTGACCCCACAGGCTGCCAGACAGGCACTAAGTCCAAACGGGGGCCAACGGGGAGGAGGGAGGCAGGGCAGGTGGCTACTTCACACACAAGTGCAGCCTGAAGGGTGGGAGGGAGATGCCCCGGGCCCTCCCAGCCCCCAGGCCAGCCCCTGTTCCCTAGCACAGGGGCAGCCAGGGTCACAGCACATCGCCCTCCTCCATGCTGAAGCTGCTCCGGCGGCTGCTGGCCTTGGAGGCCTCAGGGGACATGGTGGACAGGAGTGGATCAGAGGCCAGCGGTAGCAGTGAGTCGTCCAGGAGCATGAGGTCCAGATCCTTCTTGGACAGGCCGGGGAATGGGGAGCCATGCTCCGGGGCCAGGGGTTCGGGGTATCCTGGGGGACCCTCGTCCTCCCTGCCCCCAAAGCTCAGGCTGTGGCTGAAGTCCAGGTGATGGAATGGGGATGGCGGCTGGGTGGGCAGGGGCAGTGGGGCTTGTGGGGGCAGAGCTGGCAGCGGCTCAGGGTCAGGGACCTCAGCCCCCAGCATCAGGGCCTCCCCTGGGCCCTCTTCACTAGGCAGCTCCTGCTTCACCACCTGCTGGGCCAGCTCCGCCATGTTCATGCCGGATGGGGAAGTGGTAGGGAGGCCGTGCACTCGAGCCTGCATCTCCAGCTCCTGCAGGGGAGGAGATAGAAGGCTGGGGAACACACCCATGGGCACCAGCCACCAGGCCCCCCTCCCCTGGGCCTCCATCATAGCACTTGCCCCTGCCCAACGGCACAGAGCAAGGCATTTCCGTTAGGAGAAAGCATATGGTAGTTCCAGAGCCTAGACCAGTGTTGCTTCAGACTACAAGTCATAATTCATTAGTGGGTTGTGAAGCCACTGTAGTGAGTCTTGACTAGCTTTCTATTTTTTTAATTGAAATTGCGTTGTCTAGACTAGACCAGAAATTATTAGAATGCATTGCATCTATTAAGGACGAGCAGAGCATTCCTTCATGAAACTTGATTTTCCACTTTGAGTGTGCCTATGTGTGCTTGATTTTAATGTAAATTGTATCATCTACCATAAGAAAGAGAAACAAGGTGCAGTCCAATCGCCCTCTGTGCAGCAGGCCAGCCTCTGGTCTAAAGAAGACAAGAGGCCCTCAACACAGAGCCAGGACTAGAACTCTCAGTTCCAGCTGCTAGGGCTGATTCTGCCAAGCCCTTGTTCTTTAGGTTGACCCTGGGAGATTCCTAGTGCCACCCACCAAATGATTCCAGCTCACTACCTCCCAGGCACATGATACGTTTGCATTTTCCTGCCTCTTGCGGTTAGAGTGCTTGTAGAGTTTGCCTGCACTGGCCAAGCCCATTGAACAGAAGTGACATGTGGCACTTTAAGAGTGACAATGGCTTTAAGAGCCAGCTCTAGATGTGCCACCAGAGAGCTGGGTCCCAGCAGCCTGGGTCCCAGAATGAGGGTCTCACAGAACAGAACCTTCAGCTGATATTTGTTGCTTAAAGATGCTAAGGATTGTTTGTTACCAAAGCAAAACATCCTGACACATCCTCCTTCCTAATGGGCATCTTCCTGTGCCTCCTACTTCAGAAGTATAAGCACTACCCCCTGGTGCCAGGAGCCAGGTTAAGGGTCAGAGTTACCAAAGAAGTCTAAATTCAGGACCAGACCTGGATACGGAGCCAGAGCTGCTTGTTGGTCATCTCCAGGCGGCGAGAGTGGTTCTCCAGCTCCCTGGACTTCTGCAGGTCCTTCTGCATCCTCCGGATGTAATCCACAGAAGCCTTGAGGATGGTGCCCTTGTTCCAGCGCACATCCCTGCAGCAGCAGACCAGGCAAATCAGAGGAACATGCTCAGAAGAGTGGCCAAATCCTCGCCATTGCTCTGGTTGCAGAGCTTATGTGGCCTGTCCCAGTCTTACCCAGCAACCCCAGATCTGGAGGTGGAGGTAGCTGATCTGTTTGCAGAGAATAGGCCCTCCCAGGTGACTTCTGTTGCCACTGCCCACGTCACTAATCTCATGAAACCAGGCAATTTGGAGCAGCCTCCCTCTGAAGACTACCAAGACCCCAGCCCAGCCTACCCTGGACTATCAATCCTCCTGCCCCTCAAACACCGTTTTTTTGTTTTGAGTTGGAGTCTCTGTTGCCAAGGCTGGAGTGCAGTACAGTGGCACAATCTCGGTTCACTGCAACCTCCACCTCCCGGGTTCAAGCAATTCTCTTGTCTCGGCCTCCTGAGTAGCTGGGACTACCGGCACACAACACTGTGCCCAGCTAATTTGTGTATATTTAGTAGACAGGCGTTTTTGCCATGTTGGCCAGGCTGGTCTTGAACTCCTGACCTCAAGTGATCCGCCTGCCTCAGCCTCCCAAAGTGCTGGGATTACAGGCATAAGCCACCATACCCGGCCTCTTTTCTACCAGCCCAATGCCCTTAAGAAAACTTTTTCTCAAATAAAGAAATTTGGTACCCAGAAAAAAAAAAAAAAAAGAAAAATTTTTCAGCATGGCTCCGCCTCCAGGGAGCCTCCCTTGACTTCAGCCTCACTTCCAGGACAGAAACTCATCTGTCTTGAGCTTTCCTGATTTGGGAGAGGGAGAGATCTTCTCTCAAATAGATGAGCTTCTAGAAGGAATTCTCCCATCCTAGCAACTAGCATGGGGCTGAGGGCAGATAATACTTGTCAACTGCTGCCCACCACAGACCCATCACCCTCCCCCCTCAGAAACCTGCTCACAGGTCATTAGCCTTGGGGATCAGCATTCCCAACTCCTTGATGCGGTCGTTGATGTTGAACCTTCGTCTCCTTTCAACTAAAGGTAAGAGATTCCAGAAGGAGCAATTAGAGGGCTAGGGACCCCGCCACGGGGAGAAGCACCCAGCCCAGGGAGAGGTGCTTCAAGGGTACCCTGCTGCTTAGATTTAGTCCTTCCAGGAAGTAATAGGTGACAAACAGACTGGGATTTCTACAGGGATTGGGGGGTCCAGGGCAAAGGTCAGACACAATTAAGGGGGCCAAAAGTTAGAATCGGCCCTGGTGATGCTGGCAGCACAGCAGAGCTGCCTGGGGTAGGACTCTTCCCGCTACACAGAACTCTGCCGCCCCAGGTTCCACGGCTTAACCCAGAAAACAACCTGAAAAACTGGGGGTTTCATGAATGTCCCTCAAGGAACCCTTCCCACCCCGTCCTAAAGAGGTCTAGTGGAAAGACAGCACTAACAGACCCACCCACCAGTGACTGACAGCAATGGGAGGGCTTAAGCCACCTGCAAGTGACTTGGCCTTGAGCAGGGAGGCCTTCCACCTGTGCAGGGCAGGGAGTGGCTTTTTAGCCAGTCCAGGTGAGAACAAGGAAGAAGGAGGCAGGGAGAGGGGGCGGGGCAGGACTCACTTAAGTTGTGATTGTCTTTCTTCTGCCGCTCCTTGGCCAGGGCCCTGCTCTCAGCATCTGGAGGCCAAAGGAGAAGGAGAGAGGAGCTGGGAGGGAGGGAAAAGGAGGGAGGACTCAGGTATTCAAGGGCACAGGGACAGAGGGAGGCAGTACCTGTGAGCTCTCGCTTCTGGGTCAGGTCTGCAGGGCAGGAGCTGCTGGTGACGCCCACCAGGGAGGCTGTGACCTGGGGGTCGCTGCTGTACACATTCAGGTGGCTGCTGGACAGGGGTAGCTGTGGAGGGTGAGGGAGACCCATGAGCATACCCCTGTCCATGGGGAGCCCCCTCCAGGGCCTATCATCCCAGGAACAGTCCTTCCCAGGGACACCAGGAATGGCAAAATTCACCTCAGGCCTCTTTACCCAGAATTCAACCTGAAGGTCTGCAGAGTCCACAGCTGAATAAGATGCAGTCCCTGCCCTCAGGGAGCTCCTGGCCTAGAGTGGCTGAGAGGAGTGATCCAACCAATAATATGTGATAGGATTAGGCCCCAGGCATTATGGAAGCCCTAGAGCAGGTAATCTAATCAATTCTAGAGTTTCTGGAGATCTGCTGGAGGGCATGGGATGCAACAGAGTCTTGAGCAGGGATGTGAGAAAAGGCACTCCAGGTGGCCAGCAGGGCACCAGCAGACAGGGTTGCTAGGCAGAGTACAATTCCAGCAGCTCAAGGGGCAGAAGTGGTTGGGGGTGGGGGTGCTGGAGGCAGGACAGACGCATCTGGATCCCCAGAACAGTGTTCGACTTGCAAAGATACTGGAGTTTGGGAATGGGCAGCCAGGGGAGGTGTGAGCAGGAGTCTCACAGCGAAGAGATCTGAGCTCTGGAAAGATAATCCTGCCACAGAAACATGCAGAACAAATCACAGGACCAGATGCCCCACAGTGTACACAGGAACTGCTAAGGGGACCAATCACTTGCACCCTCCCTCCCTCCTCAGCCCTCGCTGCCCCTGCTGGCTGTAGGTTTGGACCCAACCAGTCCTGGCCAGCTCCTGCTAAGCCACTCAGCAATGTCACCAGGGCAGTGGGGACTAAGGAGTGGCTCCCTGACTCCCCACCACACGAACTGGGACTTTCCCTTGGTAGCATGAGTTGGGACCCATGGTAAAGGTAAAGGGTAAAGGCTCATGCCCAAAGGCAGGAGTGAGCAGCTGAGGTTCAGGACCTCCAAAGAAAAGCGGGCAGGAGGGGCACTGGCAATCCCACCTGCTCGGCACACACCTGTCACCTTTGTACAGAGCTTGTGCTCAATTTCTTGCCTCATCTAATCTTCCCACAGTCCTGTGGGTAGACAGCATCACCCCATTTTGCAGCTGAAAAAACTGGGGCTTAGTATGCTTGAGCGATTTCCTAAGGTCGCACCAGAAGCCAGAAGCCAGGTCTCTTGACTCCAAGCCCAGCTCCTCCCCATCTGCCACCCCACCTCTGCCCGGAGACGCAGGAACCTGCCAGAGGGAGGATTCCTGTGGTTGGGGACAAGGCCAACCCCAGATCACTTGCTCCATGGAGTGAGGGACACAGGTTTTTGCCTGTTGGGCGGCGGGCTTGGTAAAGGAGGAGAGGCCCAGGTCCCTAAAGGAGCTCATTAGTTCCACCCCTTCCTGTAGACACACTGCCCCTCCATACACGCAGTCCTCTCCCTGCCTTCCCCTGCCCCTTCCCTAACCTGGAAAGCCCCCTCCCCCAACCGCTCCAGTCCCCAGCCCTTTCTCCCCTCTGAAGCCCCTTGGTGCACACAGGCTGAGGCACATCCTTCATGCTTCATAATTCCTCTTGGCCCCTGCCCTTGTCACATTATTTAGTAAAAATGACTCTCTTTTTTTTTTGAGATGGAGTTTCGCTCTTGTTGCCCAGGCTGGAGTGCAATGGCTGGACCGCAACCTCCGCCTTCCAGGTTCAAGCAGTTCTGCCTCAGCCTCCCAGGTAGCTGGGATTATAGGCATGTGCCACTGCGCCTGGCTAATTTTGTATTTTTAGTAGAGACAGGGTTTCTCCATGTTGGTCAGGCTGGTCTTGAACTCTTGACCTCAGCGGGTGCACCTGCCTTGGCCTCCCAAAGTGCTGGGATTACAGGCGTGAGCCACCGTGCCTGGCCAATGACTCTTATCTCTACAGAAAGATGCCAGCTCTGCCCAGTGATAACCCTGTCTCCAGCTCTCTCCAGGTTCAGAGCCACTGTGGGTGCCCCCCTCCCTGACACCCTTGCACACCCACCCCACCCTAGCCAGGAGTACCGTGTTGGGCATCTGCATTTCAGGATTGATGTAGCCCAGGACATCATCCAGACGCATAATGTTGTCAATGACATCATCAAACTGAAAAAGAGAAAAGTACATCTGGGGAGGGCCCACCCAGAGGTGGGGAGGGGAAAGAGGCACTGGGACGCCCACTGACCTGGAGGGACCTTGGAGCCCACTTCACCCAACCTACTTATCTGGGGAAAGAGGAAATAGGCCAGAGAAGAGATGAGCTGTCCAGGTCCCACTGGCCCAACGCCAAGCCAGGGTTCTTGCCAAGGAGCCTACCTGCCCAGGGAGCTTCCTTGCTCTCACTTCTGTCTCTTGCTTGGGGAGTGTGCTGGGCTTTCCCATATAAGTCTTCTGTTTCTCCCTAGCAGAGCTTTCTTTCTTTTTTCTTTTTTTTTTGAGGAGTCAGTCTGTCGCCCAGGCTGGAGTGCAGTGGCGCAATCTTGGCTCACTGCAGCCTCTGCCTTCCTGATTCAAGCGATTCTCCCGCCTCAGCCTCCCGAGTAGCTGGGATTACAGCGTGCACCACCACGCCCAGCTTTTTGTATTTTTCATAGAGACAGCATTTCACTGTGTTGGCCAGGCTGTTCTCGAACTCCTAACCTCAAGTGATCTGCCCACTTGGCCTCCCAAAGCTCTGGGGTTAAAGGCGTGAGCCACCACACCCGGCCTCCTAGCAGAGCTTTCAAAAGTAAGGGTGGTCTTTCCCCTGTGAGGCTCCCTGAGGGCACGGCTGTGTCTTCCCCCCTGAGACTGGAGCTCCCTGATGAGGGCTCTGTCTCCGCCTCAGACTGAAGCTCCCTGAAGGTGACGACGCTGCCTCTGCCATCAGACTAGGAGTCTCGGAATCACAGCAGTGGGCACCAGCTCTGCAAGCAGCACGGCCACTGGCCAGTTCCTCACTCACCTCCCTCTCGGGGTTGGAGCCGATGTGCAGCATGGCCATGGGGCTGTTGGGAGCACTGTTGCCAGCAGAGGAGGACAGCACGTGTCCAGCTCGCACCCCTGGGGAGGCAGCTGGTGGTGGCTTCGGAGAGCCCTGGGCCGGGCTGATATGGGCGGCAAACTTGTTCCCATAGGTCTCGGACAGGTACTCCCGCACTTTCTGATGCTGCGACTGCTGCAGATGGTAGGATGTGGGATTCTCCAGGTAGGACTGCACCTGGAAGGGGAAAAGGCAAGGGCTCTAGGGGAAGCTGGGACCAGTGGGGACGAGGTAGGGGGCAGGCCAGGACAGGCCCTACCTTCAACACCTCCCCAGGCACAGGTGGTGGTGACTGGAAGTGGACAGGGGTGTTGATGGCCGGGGTGGGCGGCCCCCCGAGCTGCTGCTGCTGCTGCTGCTGCATGTAATGCATGACTGCCTGCTGCTGCATGCGCTCCCGCTGCTCCTCCTGCTGTGCCTGCTCCCGCATGAGCTGCATGCGCAGCCCTATGCGTGACGCCATGGTGGCTGCCGGCACCGGCTCCCTGTGGACAAGAAGGGGCGGCAGGTATGTGAGGCACTTGTCCTCCTCAAAGCACGTGGGCTGGCCCCGGGGAGGCCAAAATGACTGGGATAGCATCCATTTTACAAGAGAAGACACCGAGTCCTGAGAGGGGAAGAGATTTGCCCAAGGTCGCTGAGCAAGCGGGTGACAGCTGAGACATGAATCCAAGTTTCCTGGTTCCCGGACCAAAACTGAAGGTTCTGTCTTCTTCACTGATCACAGTTGGTAAATCCCAAACTAAGAGTCAACCTCCACTTCTCTCTGTGTCACGCCCACATCCTGATCCTGTCAGATCTGACCTCAGATCCATGCCCCTCTGCTGCCACAAGGTGGGCCCAGGCTGTTCCGGGTCTTACCTGGATTCCTACAGGGGCAGCCCAGTGTTCAGACTGCTACCTCTGGCTTGTCCTAGGGCATTCTACTGGCAACTCAGTAAGTAGATGGATCCTGTTAAATCCTAAGTCAGATCCTATCCTTCCCTCTGCTCACAACTCCCCATGGCTCCTACCTTCCTCAGAGGAAGAGCTAAGGTCCTTTCCATGACCAGAGCCTCCTAGGATCTGCCCCAGCTCATGTTTCCCTCTGATCCCATCCGCCGGCTCTCCTTCATTTCCTCTGCTCCAGCTACATCCGCCAGCCACTTTGCAATCCCTGAAACATCCCAGGCATGCCCCTACCTCAGGGCCTATGCCCTTGCTGCTCCTTCTGCCCGAATACTCTCCACTCAGATGACATCATGGCTCACTCCTTCACCTCCTCCAAGACTCAAATGTCACCTTAGAGACCTTCTAGGACAACCCTATTAAAATTACAGAGCCCCCACCCCCACTCCCTATGCCTCTTCCTTTTATTTTTCTCCGTATCACTTATCACCATCTTAAATACTGTGCATTTTTGCTTAGCTGTTTCAGCCACTGTCTGTCTCTTTCTTACTGGGAATGTACACTTCCCTGAGGGCAGGCATTTTCTGTCTTTTTCACTGCTATACCTTGGGCCTCTGGCCCAGGACCTGGGACATGGCAAATGCTGAATGCGTGTGTGAAGAATTGAATCTTATTTGTAAGCCAGGCACTGGGGATACAACGGTAGTCCCTGAGCTCATGGAGCCTACAGTGGAATAAAAAGAAAGGCAAGTCCACAGGCTTGAGGAGGGCCTGTGCAGGGAGGGCCACTTCCAGGCACCTGGCACTGCCAGGGCCCAGAGAGGATTTCCCACCACCCAGCACATCAGCCCTAATCTTCTACAGGTCTCAGTGGCACAGGTGTGACTTAAGTCTCCAAGCCCAGTCTAGAAGGAAGGACAGGGAAGAACGAGTCCTATAGCTGGGCCCACTCTGTCCCTAGCTTATTGAGTGACCCAGGGTAAATCCCTTCCCCCTCAGAGCCTCCATCTCTCCATGCGCAAAATGAAAGAGTTGGATCCAGTGATTTCTAAGGTCCTCCCCAGCTGGGATAGGCTGAGACTCTGAGAGATGCAGGGCTCCTGGGTGTGTCCAGACCCCATGAAGTTCCTAGTAGGGGCTGGAGGGTCCCATCTTGGGGATATTGCAAGAGGCAGTATGACTTTGTGGTTGAGCAAGGACTTTTGAACTGAGCAGATAGGGGCTTGAATCCTAGTTCTGCTACTTCTTTGCTGTGTGACCTTGGGCAAGTTACATAATCTCTCTGAGCCTCAGTTTCTCATTAGTAAAGAGTTTCAGCTTCAGAAGACTAGAGCATTACATGAAATTAATATGTCTTACACAGTGTGTAGCACCTGGGAGGCTGGGTGTATGAGACATGGATGAGCACATGACTGGCAGGCAAACTGATCAGTGTGGACCAGAGGCCAGAGCTCCTAACAATGAGGCCCAGACGTCGGGGGCTGGCAAAGGGAAGCAGCAAAGGCTGACATGTTCTGGTTAATGCCAGACACTGGAATTAGTCAGCATTAGCCAAAAGAACTGGCAAATATTCCACGAAAATCACCAGATCATAGAAATAATAATAACTTGCATTTATTTGAGCATTTACTGTATGTCAGGCAATGTTCCAAACTCTTTCACCTCGAACAGCCCGATGAAGGAGTTCTGAGATTTACTCTCCTTTTATGGATATGGAGAAACAGAGGCACAGGAGATTAAGTGTCTTTCAGCAGCGAAAGGGACAGAGCTGGAACTCAGCCCCAGGCAGCATGACCTCTGAGCCCATGCTGGGGAGGAGAGGGTCTCCTCCACACAGAGTGGGCAGGAAGCTTATTGCAGGCTGCCTGGCTGCCAGGCTCAGGGATGGAGCCCATGCCACCTGACTGCCAGCCAGGGCTCCTTACACCACCTCTGTGCCTTTCCGACAAGGTGGGAAGGCAGGCAATGACCCTCACCCCACCCTCCTTCCTTCTCTGCCCCTCTGCACCATGAATCAGTAAAGGGGTTGTCTCAGCCCCTTGGGTCTCTCTGCCCAGCTCCCAACAGGGCAGTCCCCAGAGAGAAAGGAGCAGACACCCACCACCCCCTTCCCATCCTGCAGCAGGAACACAGCTGCAGCCTCCACCCAGGCCTTCACCCACCCCCTTCCTATGCTGCTACAGAGGGGTATCCCTGTCTTTGTGCCCCTACTGCCCACCACACACACTAGCCCTACAGACCTCATAGGCTCTGACCCCAGCCCAGCCCACCCCCTCGCAGCTGTACCCCCTATACACCCACCCACACAGCACTGGGTCACCCCCCCACCCTTGGGGACAATCTGACTTCAGTTGGCCCTGGTGGGGGTGCAGGCACCGGGCCTGGCAGTGCCAGCCGGCACAGGGAAGCTGGGGGAGAACAAGCCCCTTGTTTCTCTGACAAAGGGCTGAGCGTCTGGCCTGGCCTCGGCTGGAGCTGGCTTTGCTATGAGGAGAGCCTGGGCTAGGCCCTGCATCTTGCTGGGTGGGCCAGCCTCAGTTCCCTCATCTGCACAATGGACTTGGGAATCCCTGCCCCACCACCCCCTGCCAGAATCCAGGTGAGCCTCCCAGCAGAGGGCGTTGGAGAAGTGGACACAGTGAGGCACCTGTGCCATCGGGGGGTGTCAGTAGCCTTAGCTACTGTCCCCTGTCCTCTGACAGAGAATGGCAGGCCAGTGAGGCTCCCCATCCCCACGGTTGGAGCTGTCACACCCACAGAGTTTGTCCTCCAGTGAAGCTCCAGCCCTCTCCCCTGGCCCTGGTTCCCAGCCCTGGGTTGCTGAGTGTGGTGTGGGTAGGATGGGCATGGGTAAGGGAGGTCCCTGAGGCGATCAGAGAGCGATGGGGGTGGTCCAGGGCATGCTAATCCCCCACCCTCAGCCTCTGAGCACACCTACTCGCTCTCAAACCCTGAGGGGCCACTCACAGCCTCCCCGGACAACCAGTCCAGCCAGGAAGAACTAACAGGATGGACGTGGGAGAACCAAAATGCCCCCGGCCCCTCCCACCATCTGGCCCCTCAGACCCAGCATGCCTGAAAGGGGTCCGCTGTGTGCTCGTTCAGTAACACTGGGGGCCTGGAGTGCCCACTCCATGTAGACACCAGGGATGGGTGCTGCCCTGGAGATCTTCTCTCCTGCCCCTCCCAGGTAACACTCTCCTCATGAGAAGAAGGGTTTGATGCCCTAGAAAATCCCTGCCTCTCCCCCATCACATGGCTGCCCCCCATCAACACCCCCAGGACCCTCCAGCTGCCTCCCAGTGCTGCCCACCCAGAGCCTCTCAGCTGACTCTGCCTCAAAGCCCAGTCTGGGTTCCAGCTTAGTCATGTCCAAAATGAGTTCCGCAGTCCCACAGGCTCCCTGCCCCTACTGGCTAGGTGACTTCAGAAAGCCACTTCACCTCTCTGTGCTTTGCTTCCTCTGTAAAACATGGCACCTGCTAAGCACAGCACCTGCCTTTTGGGGCCACTGGGAGGATTCAAAGTAAGTATGTGGCAGTTGCTTCATAACTGGGGATCCTGGTCTCCTCTGCTCAGGCCAGTGCTGGTTTCATCCAGCCTGTGTGTGGGCCTTGCCTGTCAGTCATTTACACCTTAGTATGAACCAGTCTTGTCAGACCGTACTTGAGGAAAATGTGGACACAGGGAGGAGAAAGACAGGGAGAAATCACTGGTCTCCATGAGAGAGGCAATGAGAAGGAGGAGGGAACAGGGAAGTCTCAGATGTAGGAAAGAAGATATCACAGATACAGTATTGAGTGGAAAAGGTAAAGTGCAGAATAAATGCACAGCTTGACCCCATGAAGCAGGAAATGGTATATGTGTGGAAAGGATCAGGAGGACCATGGCACCCGCCGCTAGATGCTTTGTGAATGATTGCGTGGGTCAGGGCTGGCCACTGTGCTTTTCAAATGTTCATTCTTTTGTCTTCTTCAAACAACCCAATGAGCTGAGTACTAGTATTGTCCCCATTTTTCCTGGAGGCAACTGAGGCACAGAGAGGTGAAGGAACTCACTCAAGGTTACACAGCTGATTAAGTCGTAGAATGGAGATTTGATCCAGGCAGGCTGGCTCACAGACCCTACTCTTTAACTACTATTCTGGGCTCCCCTGGCACCCCAAACTGTTGATTGTTGTTACCACTGGGGAGGGTAGTGGGAAGGGGTGGTGGAGGGAGAGGGATAAAGAGGGATTTTTATAGTTCCTCGTTCCACTTGAGAAGCACTCAACTCTTACAGTGGGAATGAGTGCTACTTGTGTGGTTCTGTGAACCCAGGAGAAAGGAAGCACAGCAGCTTCTCGGGGTTTATGGGGGGCCCGGCCTGCTTCCAGTCATGTCCAAAGGTGGGTCGCCAAGGGGAAGGAATCCCCCCAGCTCCACCCAAGCCCTGCCCTGCTCAGTGCAATGGTCATTAGGCCAGCCCAGAACCCTTGGTGAGGACACCCAGTGGCCAGAAGAGACACAGAGCCAGGGTCAGCAGCCACGTAGCATTTGGAGCTGGAGGGCCAGTGCCCCCCACTCAGTTTCCACCACAGCCCCAGACAAGGGCTTCT